CATTCTGTTCGCTAGGCCACCAGGTGCCACCGTGCGAAGGCGCGAGTCTCGCCGTGCGTCTGGGCGCGCGCTATGAGGGCGCGAAGTTAACGTACTGTTTTCAGAGGGGGTCGAATCGCCCCCCTGCGCTTTGAGCGACCCAGTCCTGAAGATCCCGATTCCCGTAAATTTATTACCTCTTTAGCATACAGCAGGGAGGGAAACAGGGCGTAACAGCATCAGCCGGGCACATAGTTCGCCACAAGTGCTGCCTCGGCCGCCCTACTCGCTTCTACAGCAGTGCCCGGTCGCCGTTTCTTCCCCCCCACCGCCGCTTCCCCGGCTCTCTTTCTCTTCGGTCCTGAGGCCGTACTCTCTGCTTCTGCTTCCCTCGCGCGCTGGCGCTTCGCGGACGCTTCCGCCTCCTGCCTGTGCCATTTCCTCATGAACCATGCCGCCCCGTCCTCGACCTTGTTGTATCACGCTCCGGATCCTTGGCGCTCTCTTTCCATTTACCCCCTTCCTTTTCGTCTCTCATGTTGAAGGCCACGAGGTCCTCTCCTAGACGAGACACCCAGTCGCTCTCCTGCCCGCCCCGGTATCCCACGCCCCCCGCCATCGCTCCTAACAGCATGCGCTTGGGGAGGCGGCTGTCCTCCATGCGCCTAACAAAGCCCGCGAAACACTGTCTCCGTTTGCGCACGGTGGCCTCGATGGTTTCCTCGCAGCCCGGTGTGTGTGATGACGTCACTGGTTTTGTAGAGAGACGCGGCAGAGATGGCGCGGATAACCCGGGTGCCTTAATTGTGTACCTGGATCGTGGAAGACCCCTTCAATGTGGAACGATTCCTAGTCAGAGTCGATGTTTACACTGCTGCGCCTAACACAGATGATCTGGATAGATTCGGGTGATTGTCAATTGCAATGATATGGCTTTGGTTGGGCGTTCTTCTTCATTGTATGTCCACGGACTCATTCTGACAGCACTTGAGACAGCAGCTCCATGCCCCGAGCTTGTGTACCATGCACCATGGTGTTATTATTGTACAGACAGCACTTCAGACAGCAGAACGCTGTAGTCGACAGTCATTTTGGTTAAATGCGGGACAAGGGGGGTGATGCTGCTGCTGTGGTCGGCTTGTAGTGTGTGGGCGTGTAGTTCAGTTGTGGGCACGCAAATGGCTGCAGGAATTGCAGGTTTACCTCCTCGGGCTTGCGTGCCCTTTTCTTGCTAATAGTGTGTGTGTTCTTTAGATCTTCTGATGGGTCTAGCATTTTTGTGACCACGGACCGAGTCTTTCCTAGATTTTGGGATTAGCAACTGACACGAGTTTAAT